CAGAGTAAAGGGGTCCTTCCACATTTACCGCCTACCGGCATTAGTAGCTGTTGGGAATAAAACACCCACCAGATATCAAAATAGACAAAAAGAAAATACTTCTTTTGTGTATAAAATTCATGGTAATTTTTGAAAGAATTTCAAATGACATTAGTTTATTATTATTTTCCTTTCGTTTTTAATTTGAACTAATATAATACAAATAGTTTCTGGTAGCCTTTATTTTTTAAACAGAGATTCTCTTATTTCTCAAGGAGTATTCGTAAAAAATAAGTAGAATGTTAATTAAATGATTTCGATAATTTTTATTAAATACACACAGTCAAAAGTGATTCTTGGTCAAATCTACTATTAACCGATACTATTTAGTCAAAATCATTACCACTCAATATTTTCGCAGTATGAAGTGGTTTTAGACAATCTTCCTAGTCAAAACTACTTTTGACTGATTTTCGCAGTGAGCAGTGGTTCTGACTAGTTATGAGTTGTGACTGTAACATATGCAATAATTATACTAATAAAAGTATCATTGTGAGTTAAACATATACGTCATTTAATGATCGAAAAGGAGTATTTATAATTGTAGGTAGTAGATGCACATAATATACATCTATTAATTAAATTTTTGTTTCGCATTTCGGATAAGTGCGACACGTTTCATTAAAGCTAATGGAAGTGAAGTAAGCATTTAATTATCGTTTACTTAACATAATATAATATATTACCTGTGTATATAGAAGGTCAATTTTATTAGTACCTTAGACACTGCGTTTGATTAAAGCGTTAACATGTCATTTGTATATTCTTCCGGACTATAACAAAAAATTTTTGTGTTTAGTTAGTTTTTTGCCACTTTGTACTTTTTGTCCCTAAAGTAAAAAGGCTGGATTTACATAACACTTGTATTTTTGTTGTTTTGATTCCCTTGCGAGTCCCAAAATGCGAATGTCAAAATAGATGACATCAGTGGCATAGCCGTTTTTATATATTGTAGCGAGCACGAGTGTGTTTGTGTGCGATCGGGCACACATGTGCGTAAACGGCTTATCGATTCGCCAACTAGCCGCGGCCGCCTTTCTTCATGTGCGCCGTATTTGTAAATGTGTGTCGTGCCTGCGTTCTGGGAAAGCAGTTAAATAGTTCAAAGAAAAAATAAACTATCCAGATGTTTTCCAGAAGGTTCCCGAAAGTGAACAACGACTTTTTAAAGGAAGAGACCATCAACGAGAGAGGAAGAAATAAATTGACCGTTGCAGAAGTGAATCCAGAAATAAATTGACAGTGATAGAAGTGAATAAATAGCGCAGTGAATAGTGATATATTAACAGTAGTGTAAATAAATAGTATAATTCATAACCTAAGTTTCGTAATAATTTAATAGTGTTTTTAAGTTCTTTCATAATTAGTGTTAATAAATAGTTTTTGTCGTTACCAGTCTTAGAAGTTAATTTTGTTAACCCCACGAACATTACAATATATAGATTAATTCTTTTTACATGTGTAAATTTAAATATTTTTATAATTTGCGTTTGGGCCGCACTTTAGACAAGCATGCTTTAAAGGTTCCTTTTTCCTTTGACGTGTGTTGAGATACCTTCTCTACAATTATTCAGGTTTCTTAATTCATAGTTTTGCGTTTTAAATGTGATTTATCGTTTTTAATATACATATTCTGTAAAGGGTCCAAATAACTTTTCTGTAGTTTCTAACTAAATCTAAATCTGTCAGTTATGTTAACTAATGTTGTAAAAACTACTCAACTGATCGTCGTACAGAAAATGATATAGGGTACTTTTTATCCAGAAAAAAATACTGTTCTCATGGGATTGAAAAATTAGTTTTATGTGGTCGTCGATGATCTTCAACACATATATCTAGGGCATCAACTCGAGCGAAGCCGCGGGTAAAACCTAGTCAATGATAATGTAATTGATAATGCATTTATAGTAGGTAAATATTATGATGGCTGCTATTTAACTATGATTAATATGAAAGAATATTTAAAATAAAGAAATTACTCTAGATCATAAGCTGTTGAACTATCCATTTTATCAGTAGAGATTATGGACAAGAAGATATGAATATTTGTCCCTCTTCTCTTACCAATATTCCTTGAATCAAATGTATATACATATACAAATATTTATTCAGTATCATGTAACATACAGTTTCAACTGGTAGCTTCCATAAACTATTGGGTACCCATAAAATAGAATATTACGTAATTTTTGTTGCAAAAATATAAAAATATGACAATTCAACCAATTCAGTTATTTTAAGTTTATCTTTATTAATGTCTTTTAATTTAGTTATTTATTTTTTCAAAACCACCCTTGTCCCATGCCAAAAATTCTACGTCCCTGGTTATATATAAGTCACATCTATAACAACGGTCAGAGTATCTCGACTTCTTAAAATATTAAATATTACGTTATTAGTTAATTAATTACTGGTCTAATTCAGGAGATGAATTAACAAAGCATGCAACAGAAGCTGTAGTTCTATCAGTTTAATAAACCCAGGGGGCGCCGAACTTACGATGAGATCAACGATATTTGTTAATTTTAAAGTTAGTGGCAAATTTTCTGCTTATGGTGTTCATCATGCCGTTTGCAATTGTTATATTTTAAAGTGCTGTCTTATAATTTTTGGAATACTGTCTCCTAATAAGCAGCTAAGCAGGATGACAAATAGGAAAGAGGGATCTAACTCGTTTGAGAACCCGAAATGTAATGATTTTTCACGATTTTTGAGTGTAGAATGAAAGGAAATTTTCCCTAATTTTTTATCGATTTTACATGTTTGAATTGGCAACTTTTTTCGTTTCGTTTGTTTGATTCTGAATTTTTTTCAACTGTTAGGTTAAGATACGTACATCCTACCCCTATTTTAAAATTCACGCAGAAAAGTTTTCGTACGGAATTATTTCCTGCCGGAAAAGTGCCTACATGGAAAATTCGATAAGCAAATTTGTTTTTAATATCCAAAAGTAAAAATAATCTCCCTTCCTACAGAAGTAAATAACGTTATTCATTATCCTAATTAAAAAAATAACGCTTAACGTTATTCTTTTATTATGATATAAACTACTACATTTTTAAGTATTTAACTAACAGAAAACAATGGTATACTCTTGTGATTAAAGATGTTAGGGTAGAAAACATTTTTCGGGAACATTGATTATAACTATTTTTTATTTGATATTAATAAGTATGTATTGCTAATTGTTAATTGCATTTCTTTATCGGTAACGTTTTTATTACCTACATCGTACTAAATGTAGCTATTTGTTTTGAACTCGTTAATAAGTTTTACTACTTACAACATGGAATGATTGTTTCCACATGTCGAACGTCAGAAATGTAACGATGTAACTAACAATAAATTACAGTTTATTGCGATTTTTATAACCATGCAAATATTGTAATTCAATATGTTAATGCATCGCTTATAAGAAAAGGTGACTTTTATTGTGTATATGTATTTAGAAGACCGTGATTTTAGAATTTGTATTCTTATACGCTAGTTCTTCCTCCCTATCAGTCACTGTGAGGTGAGCTCGAAACTGTTAGCACCATTGCTTCGAATGGTCGAAATTCACTTTTGTGAACAATTTGTTTAATCACTTTCTTTGTGTTAAAAATTAAATTTAAAGGAATTATTTGTAAATAGGTATGCAACACATTGTACACTTCAGGGTAAGAAATTGCTGANTATATAAATAAAAAACAAATTAACTATTCAAGAAAAATTATCTGACCTAGAATTTCATTTAACTTGAGATTAAAATTACATTTAATTCTTTTAGACAAGACAATTCTGGATCAGTAATTTCAGGGATAATAAATTAAATTAAATTAAGAGATCCACTTATTCATTGACTATTTGAAATAAAGCAGCATAACTATTGAATATGTTCAAAAATAACATTCAGAGGTACAAAATTTGTACATTTAGTACTTACTATTATTTTGTGCCTATAAGAGGAAAAACCACCCTTTTAAACAGCTTACTTAACTATCTAATATTGTTTTAAAAAAGAACATTAATATTAATCAACAAAAAATAATACAGAGGTACTAAAATTATGTACATAAATCCTTAAAAAACTATTTTTGAAGTTAACTTTTGCCTTGCATTGTCAACAAAGAGTCTTGGCTATCTATATAAATAAAAATGAATTAAAATTAACTAAAACAAAGGTAAGGCCTAAGGAGACAATATTTCTATTAAAATTTTTTTGTTCCAAGTACATCTTACTATTTTAATTAAATGAAGAAACTTCAAAATTATTACATTGAAATTATGAATACTCGCGAAACAAAAATTGTGGTATTTGTGGAGAGCTGTAATAACGGCGTGAGCAAAAGCGCATACATAGTAATAAATAGATATTTTCAACTGAAAAAAATAATCCACTTTAAATATGGCCATGTAGGAGATAAGAAACCTCCAATATCTTAAAATTCACAACAAGAGTACCTCACAATTGAAAATAAATTTAAATGTATTTAAAGTGGAAAATTTCAATTTTTAATCGATTATTATATATTGTAAACTACGAGTAGATATTTAAATATGTTTCCTTCTAGTAGATGTGGCATACTACAAAAATTCATTAGTTGGTGGCGCATTACATATGGGCACATGTACGAATATCAGTATCACAATGTTTCATACAACAATAAGTTATTATGACTAGAATATCCTATTATCACAAAACCAAAACATAATTTAAATTGAAATAGCCTCGAATATTACGTATACTATTTAGATTTTCAAAACATAAAACGAATTTGTTAAAAATAACATTTCATCGTTGTTTAAAAGTAAATAAATTCAATATAAATGTATCATCATTCTAAAAATCAATACTTACGCATATGCATATTTCTTGAAATAAAACGATATTTCGGATTAAAACAAAATTTAAACAAACTAAAATTCAATTAGGGATGTTACGCGATTAAGATTAGTAGCATTAGTTAATAACACACTGGTTAAGAAATACAAAAGATTACATCGTTTTATTAAAGATTAAATGTTGAAGGAGGGCCACAAACGTTGCAACATGGTGTAAGTGTCTACACACGTTTTACTTAAAGCATCTGTTTCAGGAATAGTACTTAAAGGGAAGCATTCTCCCTACAAACAAGTAGCATAAATTATTAATCAAATAAATGAAATGATTAATTAATTAAAAGAAACCCATTCTATCCAATTTTTTACATATTTAAATTATCGGTAGATACGGCAAGTTTAACAGTAAATGTTTTTGACATATTTTCAGCACCTTCACTAGAAGAGAACGCTTGTTACGTGTTCTTTTCTAGGTTGGGTCAAAATTAATCTTTAATGGGCTCTTAATTATGACTCACTCAGACTCCAATTTGGAGAAAGTGGAGGTGCCAAATTTTGTACGTATGTACCTTAGTATTTGTGAACAATTACAAACTTGAATTTTTGAATCCTTACCTCCTCATTTTGATACATCCATAACATCTCCAAAGTTGATAAAAAGGTTTCCAGCTCATCATTACTGGAGAAATAAACAATCCAATCTCCACTACTTTCATGCACCTCTCGACAAGCAAATTCCTAAAATAATAAACAGATTCGTAAAAACTAAAATATTAGTAAAAAACAATAGTACTATTACCAAAATACTCCAACTCTGCTCTGCTGAAGGCAATCTCAATGCCGTTAAATCGCTAATGGAAGCACAAGACAGCACCTGTGTCCCTTTAATCGGCTGGTGAGAACTGCCATTATTAATAGTGTAAGGAAATGCTTCTCTGACAGTTAGAATGTGTTCACCTGTCATTAAAAGTGAACATGACTGAGCAGATATTTTGTCTTTGTGCATATAAGTCTAAAAAGAATTATTTGATATATCTAACGAAATTCTAGAAAAGAGTTTAGTTACTTTACTAGCTGCCAATACAAGCACTTGCAACCACTCGCTAGCAATATATTCATCGGGGGCTGCTAGCATTAGCGTAGTTGCACCAACTTGAAGTTGAAATGTGTGCGGCCTGTTTGGATTGTAAGTCCTTCTAGCACCCTGACAGTTGCCATTTATTAAGGGCAAAACTCGCATGGGCAGTCTGTGAGTTGGCGACGACAACATATACAAGATTCCAGCCCTAAACACAATAAAGACTGTCAGTTTAACTCAAGACATTTTTCCAAGAAAACATCACAAAATTAAACTAAATTAATTTTATTAATTTGAAAATTAAATTATAAAGCCGTTTTGTTGTCAAAAAAACCTACTTTAAAATAAAGTACGCCGTCTCCCATCGAGTATCCCCTTCCATTTTAAACATGAGCGGCCCTTCCTTACTTGGACCGAGAGGAGTTTCTCCCATATCGCTATTGAAATCTTGTACATATACTATACTGTAATGATAGTATTCTTCGTCCTGTAGAAAATTTTCAAGATGTACAAATTATTAGTAAAAAACAATAGTAACTTATGAATGAAAATTTTCAAGAATGTAAAACGGTTAAACTCTAACGTAAAAATATAACAAAAAATAATATAACTTGTAATATTATACGAAATACATCAAATAATTTTTCCTATAGAGCTAGAACTGATACCCATAGGTTTTTAAATTATTTTAATTTTTCTCGTGCTTATTAATATTTTTGCACATTAGATAGGAATTAAATATATGAGCATTTATATGGGAATTAAATATATGAGCATTTGCTCTTCATTAATGTAATAGTTTTATTATAAAATTAATCTGCAAGAAATTATCTTTTACCTTATCTACTGATGATTGTTTGCAAACTGATTTTCTCAAGTTTGCCATATCTCTTAGACTAAGTTGCTTGATTGCTGGTAGAATGGGTTTGTTAGAATCGTTTCGAACTGCCATCTCCAATTGTGCCACAATTTCATTAGTTGCTTGTGTGCCTCTTGTAGTGATAATAAATTGCATATCATTGTCGAAATTGGAAAAGTGTATGGTTTGTGCATTTGGGCCAATCAAAATTGTGTTTAATTCGGTGTAAGGTAAAACAAAATAGTTACAAAACGAATTGTTAGGTTTTAAACCAGTTATATAAATAGTGCTGTATGTAATGAGAAGCAGCAATGGTTGACTCTCACCAACAGTAGTGTAAGCACTACGGACTGGATATACCTATAAAAAAGTAATTTATCTTTGCATACATTTATCATATATAACTGATAGATCCATAGCAATTAGCTAATGTATGATATATGAATAGCTTAAACCAGTGGTTCCCAACCTGTGGGGCGTGCCCCCCTGGGGGGTGCGAGACTGTTGCAAGGGGGACATACAGCTGTTTTCAAAATATCATTTTCGAATACAAACCAAAGAAGTCGAATAGGTGTCAAAAAAATGAATCAGCAAAATAGGTATACGTAATCCACAATCCTCGCCGCGAAAATTATTATTTCTTATAATAAATAATTATTTTTTTATGTATATTTTTACATAATANTTGGACCCGAATTTGTAAAAATAAAATCCCAGCAAAAATAAATTTACTAGGTATTTTAGTTGATATTACAAATTTAATTGTAATAATTAAAAAACGTGAAATAATTTTTAAAGAAACATGTCAAAATTGAGATTATTACAAGTTACCTAATAAATTCTACTATTTCTAAGGCAAATTCAGTCATTTAAAATCGAAAATTGTAATTTTTGTGTTGTCATATAATTTTGTTTTCTCCTTGCCTGAAAACGATAAAAACATTTTTTGGCTTTTCGTACAAGTTTTTTGAGAACTATATTTTCAGCTTGGCTTTTTATTTACAGCTTTGTCATAAAAAATGCATTTAATTCTAATAAATTCTGTGAAAAATCGATTTACCGGTTGGACTGTTAAATAAATTTGACTGAAACGGCAGCAAATACATACATATTTTGTTATTAACAATTTTGTTGCTCGCCAATAATGATGTTTCCATATTGTCTAAATATGCCAGAATATTAATTGTTGACTCTTCCTACAATTTTTAAAAGCTTTACCAAACCAAACTTTGCAGATGTGTCTCTTAGAATTAGTTATTTACTATTTTTTGTGCAAAACTAACTTTTTCACGAAACTTCCGAGCGTAACGCTATGAATAAACCTTTGAAGGAAAATCTAATTTATCCTTGGTCAATTTTTTCCTGAATTTTATTTATACTTTACAGTTATTTTCTATTCTTTGAAAAGTGGCGTTTGGTGAAGTAAAGATTTATGCAAATGTTTCTGTTTTTACTGTGTGTAAAATATTAAAACAATGCACCGTTATATGGTATAAAACTTAAATAGTTTTTACAGATATTCACATATATGTATATATATAGGGAATGCATGAAATTGGAAAAGTACAGGTACCAATATAAAGAACAGTTAAATGAGACTTTGCAAAATGTAAAGGAGCTATTCAAATTAAACATATTTGATGGATGAATCACGTGATTCAATTTGTTTTTGCAACATCAAAAATTACAAAAAAAACTGCGGTGAACCGTATACGTTGAGTACGTAATTGTAATATTTATGTATCTCCGTCCGTGGTGTAGGTTAATGAAACCGATTTTTCGACCAAACCATCAACCTCACTTGATCTCCTTGGACGTTGCCAACTAATAAGCGAACGGTTTGGTGATGCTTTTTTGTTATTCTCCTTTATTAGAAGTTTAAGTCAACTAATTTTACGGTTGCGAACGAAACGTGTCAAAAAATGAGCACTGATCTTTTAACTGGTATCTTCTCAAGCGTGAATTTGAAACTTTCTTTCATATATTTACACACAATAAATTTTTGTAATATTGCACACATGTATGTACTTGCACACGTTCTATTGTATTCTTCAAAATTAGTTTTTCAATTTGCACTGAACAGCAAAAAGTTTTTGCAATCAAACGGTAACATGCCATCAAGTTATTATAAATAGTTAAAGTCAACTAAATAACGNAATATCAGTAGAGTATTTATGAAATTAGATTGTTAGAAAAATTAAAGGGGCGCAACCATTTTTTTTTTTTAAAGGGAGGCGCAGGTACAAAAAGGTTGGAAACCACTGGCTTAAACTGTTAATATAAAAACGCTTTTTTGGATGAAGTGGCCCTTCTTTGAACATTCAATCTAACGAGGAACTATAAGACAATGAGGCTGATGAAAACAATTTTAACCGATATTAATTTAAAATAAATATTTCGTTCTGTAATATTGAGCTAGCACTATTGGTACATAAATATAAATTACAGAAATGCAAATGTGCTTTCAGAAACAGCTCTGATGGTTTTAATTAAATTTTAAGGGTGTAATGGATCTTGGTAGGTATCATCTACGGAAACATAGTTTTTATTCAGTTTTACTAGCTTTAACGAAGAATAATCATGTTATTTTGTCCCCATTTTTCCCCTGTTATTATCATTTAGAAATCAAACTTTGAATACTTAATACAATGAACAAAGTTTAATTTCCAAATAATCTTTTTTGTTTAATCTAACATATTATACAACCCTTCATACACTCTCCACATAACGAATGAAATGTTAGATTTCTTACTAGAAACGGTTTTACAAATAGTATATTTCTTTTTTTATGTTAGAAAGGTTTTAAATGTAAAATGGAAATATAATCCGCTAGTAATTGTAATGTTTTTACCTTTAATAAGTCTTCCTGGTCATCTCTCAAAACTTCTCTTTTTAACCGAGTTCTTAAGTTGTAATTTACACCTACATTTCTTTTATTAATTATTTCTAGCCCTTTTTCAAGTTCTTCTTCAATTTGTTTATCCAACTCTTTACTGCTCTGCAAATCAGGTCTGATACCCGGAATAAAAAGTGGAAGTCGATATTTCTGTTTTTTGATTTTGCTTTGCTTCATATCCAAAAGTTTTTTATTGGTAACGTTACGTAGATACTTGTTGATCAAAGACATTTTCGATGATGTTGATTTTAAACCCTGACATACTTTCGAAGAAACTTGAGATTCCATGTCAAATTTATCATCATCAATGTCCACTCTAAATGAATGTACAGAATAGTGGTTGGATTTGTTGATTTTCTTTTTTGGGGAATTTAAGTGCCTGGTATTGTTTGTTTCGGTAAAATCAGTGTTATTATCGGATATATCAGTACACAAAGAGGTGCGTTTGAGATAATTATTCATTTTGAAATCATCTAATTGGCTACTTTCGCCATCACTACTTCTTTGTATGTTACCTTCTTTGGTTGGCGTTGAAGTAGTGTAAACTTTATCAACGTTTTCGTGTTTTTCTTGATGCGGTTCTTCTTTGCCTTTCCTTTTACCAAAAAAACTGAACCCCTTAATCATCTGGTAAAACGAACTGCTTTTTGTTTTTACTGGTTGTTCAAATGTTTTCTGATACTGCTCGTATTCATAAGAATAGCTCACACCTCTATGTTCATATATATTATTGTCACATAATATGATATTGCCGGGCAAATTCTGCTCAGAGGGATAAATAGGATGAAATCCTTCACCTTTTGTAAGTTTCAAATTGTTTTTTGCAGATTCTAAATTCACGTTTACATTTCTGTTTGTAGGAGAGGACTTATTTAACGTTGGTTTTGATACAGATAATTCTTCCAAACATTTTATTACATCACTAGATGATGAATATATGTGAATATCCTCCTGACCCTCAGGTACACCTCGTTCAGCAAAAGGAAGTGAACTTGAAAAATTGAACATGTTTTTGAAACTACCAAATATATTTGCATCTAAAAGGTTTGTTTCAGATTTCTTTTTACGAACAGTAACTTCTTCTTGTACAATATCCGTGTCGATACGATTCCTATGTTTTGTTTTCTTAAGACAACTTGACTTCGGCATTTTTTGCGAGGGCTCATTAGTTTTAATACCTGTCAAAAAAAAACATTTTATAGTTATACTGTTTCAAAATGGTAAAGAAATTTTGCTAATTAAAATTCCACATTAAATAACAACGAACATAAAAAGATAAAACTTGATCACAGTATGTTTAATTAAAAAACATTCTGTAACTAAAAATTGTTTCGATTTAATGATTCATAAATTACCATCAATATATAGTTTGTTTAAAATACTTAAAAAATGGACATTGACATAGTTATCTTTGCTTTTTTAACATTTAATTGACCAAAAGAAAATACTATTTCTGATTAAATAGGTTTGTTCATAAAAACTAATTTAAATATTTAAAAAGCTTGCATCTTCCCCAGAAAGCAAGTTTTTAACATTAAGATACTTGTCTCAGTATTTATTTAATTTTTCTTACTTTCTTCTGAATTGGAGGTCACATCTTCTTCATCTATTGAGCTTGATATACTATTACTTGAGCTTGAAGAGGAAGATGAAAATCTTCCCCTCTGGACATAAATATCTGACTTAACTTCTCGCTGTGGTATTTGTTTCTCATAAAACGGAGCATCTCCTTCTGCTGCCCAACTATACCTACCCACTACTGTATCAGGCTTTTTTATGAAGCCCCTCTGAAAGAAATTCGTTGACACATCTGACTCATGAGTTATGAAGCCATGGTTTATATGTATATCATCGATTTTAGTGCTATTCAGTATGTCTTCATGAAATGAAACCCTCTTTTTAGGGGTATCTGATTTGGATTTCTTACGTCGTTGACGTCTAAATACAATTTGCTCATCTGTAGATGTTGGAATATGTTTTTCTGGAATTTCCGGTTTAATTTCGGAATTATTGTTTGTTAAAATGATTTTTAAGTTTTCATTTACTTCCTCAGACATGCTTACATGCATATCTTCTCCACTTTGCTGAATTAATTCGGGTGGTTGAATGTTGCAATTTTGTAATGTGTAATCAAGTAATTCATAGCTATTTAGAGAAATATTTGATAAATCCATATCATATATTTTTTCTGGCTTATCAGACACTGTGCAGCAAATCTTTGCCTCAAGATACTCTTCTGAAGGCTGAATACCATAAGATTCATTCAATACAGGTTCCATAACACATTCATCAAAAGTTTCTGTTTCTGTTACTCCCATAGCTTCTATACTTCTGATATACTTCTCTTTGTTAAAAACTGCACTAGAACTATCATAGTAATTGAAATGAGAATTATGGTTTGCATCAATGTCTAATGAAATGTTTAATGATGGCTTGTCATCCTCTGTATTTTTAGGATGAGAAAGGAATAGGGCATACTTTCAATTAGAAACAGGAGAAGTAGGAGAGCGTATAGAAGAGACAATGATTGGACCTTTTGGATTAGAGATTCCTTATAAGTACTTAAATTCAAAGAAATGTCTTGCTCATTATTTAATACTTTTATTTTAGAACCTCAGAACACATTATTCCAAAGAATTTGAACCACAAATGGCTTAAAGAACACGAATGTGATCCTGATAAAAAAGAAATAAAAGAATTTTTGTATAAATATAGAGAAAGGCAAGCTTTGGAAGAAAGAAGAGCTAAAGTGTAATGAGTAATAGTTTAGATGTAGTATTAAAAAATAATTGCTTGCTATTTTAGGAGAAACTTTAATCATGTGATTAATTTAATGAATCGATTTCCCAATCTGGATATGGAAGCAATTAAAAGAGATTATCCTGATGTGGATATTGAAAAAGCTAAAGCCAGTAGAAAATACAGACCCATGTTTCACAAAGATTAATTCGATGATGTAGATACTCTGGTAGTGTATATTTTCCATTATTACATTTAGTATTGAGAAATCTTTTTGATGCAGTAAGTTATTATTTAAAAAAGCTCAAAACATTGACTAATATTTATTAAAGCTTCTGATTAAATACATATGATAGTGGCTATAATATATATAAATAAAAAACAAATTAACTATTCAAGAAAAATTATCTGACCTAGAATTTCATTTAACTTGAGATTAAAATTACATTTAATTCTTTTAGACAAGACAATTCTGGATCAGTAATTTCAGGGATAATAAATTAAATTAAATTAAGAGATCCACTTATTCATTGACTATTTGAAATAAAGCAGCATAACTATTGAATATGTTCAAAAATAACATTCAGAGGTACAAAATTTGTACATTTAGTACTTACTATTATTTTGTGCCTATAAGAGGAAAAACCACCCTTTTAAACAGCTTACTTAACTATCTAATATTGTTTTAAAAAAGAACATTAATATTAATCAACAAAAAATAATACAGAGGTACTAAAATTATGTACATAAATCCTTAAAAAACTATTTTTGAAGTTAACTTTTGCCTTGCATTGTCAACAAAGAGTCTTGGNAATATTTTAAGCAATTGTATAATAGTAATTTCGTAAAAGTGTTTGTTCCAAAATAAAATTATTGAACTTGGTGATTTTTACAGTTGATGTGAAGGAAGTTAATGAGAAAGAATTGATATGCCAGATACTTCCGGTAGTTTTTAGACATGCATACCAAGACACTTGTTAATCACATTAAAACACGTGAAATTAAAAAAAAAGTGTCTACGCGATAATTGCGAAATTTTACCCTTTTCATATCTTTTAAGTAAGTATGCCACGCCCTTTCGGCTAAATTTGTTATCGAATAAAGTACAATTCTTTAAAATTGATGAAAAGATGGTAAAATATTTTTTCTTAAATAGACTTTAAATTTAATTAGTAAATTAACACGTACCAAGGCCATTTTGTTTATATAATTATCAAATATCAATTTTTTTAAAAATTTTGCAATTCCGCCATGACGGTACTTTCAATGTCATCGGCTCCCGGACTGTGAGAACGCTGGCAAAAATCTACGAGTTGATTCGCTTTTCTATATAACCAAAAATTCTGATATTAATTTTTTATTAGTTTAACATAATTTTCTGGAGACTTCTAATTAAGAATTGCTCCATCTCATCTTTCACCGGATCGTGGACTAACATTTATTAGTGTAACATTTATTGTCAATACGTCGTAAATGAATACATACGGTTAGACTTTAACAAGACAAGGGAACGTTTAAAATTGTTCGCATCAGCTCTAATTTAGTCATTTTTATTGAATTTGGATTTAACTGTTTTTTAATAATTACATTACTGGGATTAATTAATGAAATTCCCAGTACAGGAATTATGCCATAAATTTTAATCTGCATTAATTAATTAACTGCAGCCATTAAATGCAGTGAACTGGAAAAACATGTCGTGTTACAAACACATATTTACAAAAGTTTAATTAAGGGGCTTCGTAAAACATGCACCCTTGTGATTCAAAAAGTCGATTTTTCAATGTTTTGGTGCACTTGTTAAACCACACCTTGGAGATTTTATTCAAAATGTAGATGTAGTTATTATCATTGTTATAGTCTATGATTATTAAACAAAATTATTTATTGGGAAAAGGGTTTTAGATTATGTATTAAATTAATTAATCACCGTTTTGCTTATTTATTAAGACTTCTTCAAGGTTTTAAATAATTTGTACAATCGTCGAATTGATCAATTGTTATGGCATGAAGGTCATATTTTTTGGCTTTCCTTTTTACCAGTGGGGTTCTCATGTTAAACTTATATAAATTTTTAGATAATGGGGGATAATTAATTTAAATTATTAATTGAATCTAATTTCGTTGGTGTTCAAAATTCAGATTGTAAAAAATGACTCTAATCTCGCCAAATAACCAANGATAAAGGATGTCGAAAACTTGAAAATAAAATATTATTTATTATTATAGTAAAAAAAATCTGCTTCAAAACAATAAAAATCAAAACAAGGTATTGACCAGTAAAGGAAAAAAAGAATGCAAATTAAAATATCCAAACAGTACCTCGACAAGAAATGTTATCAGAAACAGAACTACACTAAGTATTGGCTTAGCTCATATTACACTGAACTACTTCCATTTTATTCAATAAAATATTCAATAGATTAATAAAATAGTATAATAAGAATAACTTTCAGAACGTACACCAAATGTCATTTTTGACAACTGTGACACATGCGTAGAAAGGACAAAGATATCGATTTTCTTCTACATGCCAACTAATCGAATCTACACGAAAGCTGACGAAAGACAATTCTAAACAATAGGTCCGTCTTATCTATGGGTTTGGTCGTGCAAGGTTTAATCTTATCTATACAGAAAATAGCAGAATCTATTCTTTTAGTTTTTACTTATACTTATAAGTAGATTATATATACATTTAGATTAAAAATGCCCATAAATAGTGTTATGTCGAATATTACAACTACTTTATTGTATTTATTGTAATGGTGAAGTACATTTTAATGTCGAAGTTGGCAACCACTGGGAACATGTTAAATGTACAGTGTGCAATTAACCCGGCACCATATGGGGAACTTTTATTACTTTATATTAATTAGTGTCAACTTTTCATTTCGTATAGGCATGATTGCAAAAAATTGATATTTGACTATTTAATTTTGGGTTTTAGGCTAAGCAAAACTTTTTATCAAGAATAACTTTTTTCATAAAACCAATAATAAGAAAGTCTCCTATACGGTGCCAACTTAATTAGACTCACAGTATAATAAAAGTTGCTGTTGTGTTGTTTTTTATATGATGAATACCATGAGTTTCCTGAGTTTATTATGAAATTTTACATAAAATATCATGAAAGGTAAGCGGGGGACAGGATTAACATGTTTAAAACAAACTGTTTTAAAACACACTCTAAATTAAAATGTTTTAAACTACATATTGGTTATAAATATGAAATAAAGAAAACATGTTACAGGATTGACATGTTTAAAACACGTATTTTAAACACTATTAAAAATACAACTAGTCAAAGACATCAAGGCACCACGCCAAAAAACATGTTTAAAATTTAAAGCACTTAAAATATGTGTTCAAAATAAACTTAAAAATGTTTAGAACATATGAACACATGTTTAAAATGTTTTGAGATGTTTTTTTCACAAATTTAATAAAAAGCGGCATTTTCCACACTGATATAATGTGACACGTGTTTTAACGAAATAGTTTTTTGCAAAATCAAAGGAAATTATTTATAATTCTCGGTATTTTTTTGACCAATTTTGAAATTTGGGCGCGTAAAATTTTACTCACAACAGTTGCGCAAACTTTTAAATTTCAATGATATATGCCCAGCTGGTTGTAAGGTAAAAATGAGTTTTTGCGAAATCATAATTTCAGTTTGTTAACCAGTTGTGAAATTTCTCTTTTTACCGTGATTTAAGCAAATTTAAATTTATATGATATAAACGCAGCAGTGTCGATAGGTGGCATTTTCTTTGACGAAAATGTGTTTTTGCGAAATCAAAAGAAATGATTCACGATTTTTGGTTAATTTTTAATACAATATTCTTTTTGTTTCAGCTTTCCGAACAACTTGCTTGTGATAGGGAATTCCTTACAACCCATTGTCATNTGACAAGCCATCATTAAACATTTCATTAGACATTGATGCAAACCATAATTCTCATTTCAATTACTATGATAGTTCTAGTGCAGTTTTTAACAAAGAGAAGTATATCAGAAGTATAGAAGCTATGGGAGTAACAGAAACAGAAACTTTTGATGAATGTGTTATGGAACCTGTATTGAATGAATCTTATGGTATTCAGCCTTCAGAAGAGTATCTTGAGGCAAAGATTTGCTGCACAGTGTCTGATAAGCCAGAAAAAATATATGATATGGATTTATCAAATATTTCTCTAAATAGCTATGAATTACTTGATTACACATTACAAAATTGCAACATTCAACCACCCGAATTAATTCAGCAAATAAAATACCTGTAAGAGAGACAACAAAATCAATAAAATTTCAAAGAAATTACAATTATTATACATAAACTGTCACACCATTATTATATAAATGCAAGATTAGGGAGAAAAAAGCCTCCCTAACCTTATGTGGCCTCCGCATCTCCCCTTATAGCCACCCTATCCACCCAAACGAACATTAATTTTGAAAGTGTAAACAAATAATTAATTTAATTTAACAATTATACCAAAAAATCAATTTAGAAGCATTTTACACATCAACCTAAGATGTGATTATAAAGATATAACAGTTTATGCACTAAAAAACAAAATACCTATAAGAGAAAGACAAGAAAACACATGAAATTTCAAAGAAAACCCTTATAAATGCGCTGAAAGTACTAAAATTCATTAAAGATTTTATGCAGTCCTAGCAAAAAAAATTTTATGGTTGCAAATTAGGAGGGAGCACGTTAAATCCCCATTTTATAAACGTCGTTTTTATTTCTTGATAAATTAATTTATACCACACTAAACAATTTGAAAGCTGTAAACTGTAGTAGAGGAGTTGTAAAAAACTAGAATTATGTGGCAAACACTTCAGTGATTATTTTTAAGCCGTCTTTTTTAAAACAAAATTAGAAGTGCTACTGCTCCACTGACAATAAAAATACTGCGCTGTATAGAAAGTTGCCTACGCAAACAACGAGCAATCAGGAGCAATGTTATTTAAAATCAGACAAAATTAAATCTTCTCTGGCTGGAGTCAACATAAAGGTAGAAATGTTACAGTGTGAATCAAAATTTGTCAGCAACTAAACTTTTCGATATTAATAATATGATCTACCTTTATTTAGTACATAAGCAGTCCAAGAAAATAATTATGATNAAATCTTCTCTGGCTGGAGTCAACATAAAGGTAGAAATGTTACAGTGTGAATCAAAATTTGTCAACAACTAAACTTTTCGATATTAATAATATGATCTACCTTTATTTAGTACATAAGCAGTCCAAGAAAATAATTATGATTATATAACACTAAACACTGGCGATGTAAATCAATGTTTTTCATTTTGTTTTTGGATATTTGTTTAATCCGGGTATTTTTACGTTGTGTACTGTACATTACAGTTTTTATGCCATTTCTGATTGATTATCAATTCTAAAACTGATAAAAAACTGTTAACATTATTTGAAAAAACTGTGCTGTTTATTTTTCAATTAAATATTCAGTTATTAAGGAAGATGAGAGTATAAAAATGTAATAAAGTAGCAATGGTCAAGAAGATACTCCATAATCAATAATACGGAATGTTTGGGAAGAAAAATAAATTTTCCCCGTTTTTTAATTATCATGTAAAAACTAGTTTCCTTATTCTCCCTGACATATAGGAACGTGATAATAATTGGAACTAGATCAGACATATTTAGTTTTTCAAATGTACAATATACAACGTTCCACCGAAGTTTTTGTCACTTTTAAGAAAATTGTAATACAAAAATTACGACGTGTCCGGTTTTACTTTGAGCAAAGATACATTGGGTAGAATCTATTTGAAGTGAAACTTCTTTACGCACGGCAGGGTAAGTTCGTTTCATACGAATTGCTATGTAACGAAATCATGCAACAGATGTCTCCCCTCTACTCGGCTACGTAGTCAAGTTGGTAGTGGGGATTGCTTGAGCCGTGAGCGCGCTTCAATGCAACGTTCGTTACAGGAAACTCCGGCATGTATAGTGTAGCCCTAACAATATGTGCGTGTTTGTGTATGTGCGTCTCACTCTGCAGTCGAAACGACGCCACTGACGCCAATTCCTTAACCTCTTTCCCGGTATGTTTGTGTGTTTGAAGAAGTTTCACTTCAGTAGCGTGTTGTATATTTACACGTTGTATTTTTTTAAAATAGAAATAGGTGAGAAATTATATAAAACAAAATTCACAATACTATTTTGCACGTCAGAGGAAATGTGATGATCACGGAGGGTGGGGGGCTTATTTGCTCTTAACATAGTGTTTAAATATTTACTTAACCATCTTAGGAGTCGTCCATAAAATACGTTATTCAGAATATCACCTTTCTGGACCCCTCCCTCCCTCCCTCTTTGTCAAACCAAGTCGCACTTTCAGTGACCTTCATCTATTACGTCATAAGAGATAATCCACACACCCCTTTACAAACGATATCTTGGAACTAAAAATAGCAATGAGAATATTATTTTCTATCGTAATGAAAAATTTTAAGAACTGCCAAGTTAAGAAAAACATTAAAATGAAATTGGAGAATTGCGAACGTCCCATTTCCTTGGACCCCTCTCCGTTTTGTAATATGTCGTCACACTAAACAATACCCCTCCATCCCTCTTATTTACGGACGTATTTTATGAACGATTCCTTATAGAGAATTCAATTTAAATTTGCAATGTATGGCATATATGTATATATAGTATTTTATGTTGTTCCGCCATATTTTTTTTGTTTGGTTTTAAGATTAAAATAAGCAGGTCATTGCCAATAGGTTTTTAATTAATTTACATGAAAATATTGCATTAATTCTTAGGAACTGACATAAGTAATTAAAATATGCTATTAGTATCATACTTTTATTGCGGTTTTTTTTTGCAGGAGGGTCAGTTCCTATTTACGAATTAACCTGAGTTAGTATAATTGAACGCACCTACAAAACCTATTATCTATGTAGTGTAAGTATAAAAGGAATTTTTATCTGTGGATCTTCCGGCGATCTCATTACTCATTTTCTCATTTGTAATTTTGTTTTCGGTCTTCACGTAGATGGATAAGTTGTCGTTTTTGGTGTCCATTAACGGAGACAACACCTGAAGGTATTTAGCCTTAATCTTATTCGATTTTCATTTGATTGTGTGGAATGTGTTTCTATTTAGTAATTGATGGGTTTCGATTACCGTTTGGATTTTTTTTGGCGTAAACGACTCGGTGGCGTAGTGGTTTCGTGTTCCAATATGGTGGTCAATCGAGATATATTGCCTGTCCACTTATCACTGAATTTTTAGATTCTTAGTTCATTTAAAGATGAACAATTAGGATTTTGTTAGAATTTTTGAATTTTGAGAATTGTTTTAGGCGATGATTGTAGATTTTTCATACTGACCGGGCCACGTTGTGAAGAATTGTTTTTGATTTATAGATAAAATATTATTCTGCCCTTAAAATTCTAAATTTCTTTTAGAAAAATTCTTATTTTTGCCTTGTTATTCTGTAGATTGGATTTTAATGACTGTTTTTTTTTTCTGTAATATAGGTTTGCTGTGAGATGACATTCTTGGTTTAGATGGGGAAACTTACAGATGCAATGTTTATGGCAGTCAGACTTATTTTTATTTCCAAAAATGCTTCTAATGAGCTGGCCAAAAATTCATATGGTGGTAACAATAGTAATTATCATTAATAATAAAATAACAAAGCCTGATGAACATATAATTAATATTAAGTTGTTTCAACAGATTAATTTCCATTAAAACATAATAAGTGAACATGAAAAGGGTAAATTAAAAGGAGCCGAAACGTGGAGAGGGAGAAACTCACATTTCTTTCTCTTGGACTCAGAAAGGGTAAGAAATCTTTTAACTATTTTATGATGTGCTTATAAAATGGTGTGTGATTTTCCAAATCTTGTATTCCATTTGTTTAACCATAATTACTATTATAATTTTTTACTCTTGAATTGTAATTGTTGATTATTCAGTTTGATAGTCTATTATTTGATTGATGGAAATTATGATTCTTAATATTTGGAAACATAATTTTTAAAATGAAACTAACATTAAATTGTTTCAGCAGGTTAATCATTTAAATACATTGAATGAACAGAGACAAAACATAAGAAAGATTCGAAACATGGAGAAGTGGAAACCCATTGATGCTCCTTCCCCTTGGACTTAAAAGGTGCAGTTTTTAGGAAACATGCATTCCAATTGACTGATGTGTTTAAGGTTACAGATGTGATGTGTCTGTCTTCAATCAATGTTTTTCATTTTGTTTTTGGATATTTGTTTAATCCGGGTATTTTTACGTTGTGTACTGTACATTACAGTTTTTATGCCATTTCTGATTGATTATCAATTCTAAAACTGATAAAAAACTGTTAACATTATTTGAAAAAACTGTGCTGTTTATTTTTCAATTAAATATTCAGTTATTAAGGAAGATGAGAGTATAAAAATGTAATAAAGTAGCAATGGTCAAGAAGATACTCCATAATCAATAATACGGAATGTTTGGGAAGAAAAATAAATTTTCCCCGTTTTTTAATTATCATGTAAAAACTAGTTTCCTTATTCTCCCTGACATATAGGAACGTGATAATAATTGGAACTAGATCAGACATATTTAGTTTTTCAAATGTACAATATACAACGTTCCACCGAAGTTTTTGTCACTTTTAAGAAAATTGTAATACAAAAATTACGACGTGTCCGGTTTTACTTTGAGCAAAGATACATTGGGTAGAATCTATTTGAAGTGAAACTTCTTTACGCACGGCAGGGTAAGTTCGTTTCATACGAATTGCTATGTAACGAAATCATGCAACAGATGTCTCCCCTCTACTCGGCTACGTAGTCAAGTTGGTAGTGGGGATTGCTTGAGCCGTGAGCGCGCTTCAATGCAACGTTCGTTACAGGAAACTCCGGCATGTATAGTGTAGCCCTAACAATATGTGCGTGTTTGTGTATGTGCGTCTCACTCTGCAGTCGAAACGACGCCACTGACGCCAATTCCTTAACCTCTTTCCCGGTATGTTTGTGTGTTTGAAGAAGTTTCACTTCAGTAGCGTGTTGTATATTTACACGTTGTATTTTTTTAAAATAGAAATAGGTGAGAAATTATATAAAACAAAATTCACAATACTATTTTGCACGTCAGAGGAAATGTGATGATCACGGAGGGTGGGGGGCTTATTTGCTCTTAACATAGTGTTTAAATATTTACTTAACCATCTTAGGAGTCGTCCATAAAATACGTTATTCAGAATATCACCTTTCTGGACCCCTCCCTCCCTCCCTCTTTGTCAAACCAAGTCGCACTTTCAGTGACCTTCATCTATTACGTCATAAGAGATAATCCACACACCCCTTTACAAACGATATCTTGGAACTAAAAATAGCAATGAGAATATTATTTTCTATCGTAATGAAAAATTTTAAGAACTGCCAAGTTAAGAAAAACATTAAAATGAAATTGGAGAATTGCGAACGTCCCATTTCCTTGGACCCCTCTCCGTTTTGTAATATGTCGTCACACTAAACAATACCCCTCCATCCCTCTTATTTACGGACGTATTTTATGAACGATTCCTTATAGAGAATTCAATTTAAATTTGCAATGTATGGCATATATGTATATATAGTATTTTATGTTGTTCCGCCATATTTTTTTTGTTTGGTTTTAAGATTAAAATAAGCAGGTCATTGCCAATAGGTTTTTAATTAATTTACATGAAAATATTGCATTAATTCTTAGGAACTGACATAAGTAATTAAAATATGCTATTAGTATCATACTTTTATTGCGGTTTTTTTTTGCAGGAGGGTCAGTTCCTATTTACGAATTAACCTGAGTTAGTATAATTGAACGCACCTACAAAACCTATTATCTATGTAGTGTAAGTATAAAAGGAATTTTTATCTGTGGATCTTCCGGCGATCTCATTACTCATTTTCTCATTTGTAATTTTGTTTTCGGTCTTCACGTAGATGGATAAGTTGTCGTTTTTGGTGTCCATTAACGGAGACAACACCTGAAGGTATTTAGCCTTAATCTTATTCGATTTTCATTTGATTGTGTGGAATGTGTTTCTATTTAGTAATTGATGGGTTTCGATTACCGTTTGGATTTTTTTTTGCGTAAACGACTCGGTGGCGTAGTGGTTTCGTGTTCCAATATGGTGGTCAATCGAGATATATTGCCTGTCCACTTATCACTGAATTTTTAGATTCTTAGTTCATTTAAAGATGAACAATTAGGATTTTGTTAGAATTTTTGAATTTTGAGAATTGTTTTAGGCGATGATTGTAGATTTTTCATACTGACCGGGCCACGTTGTGAAGAATTGTTTTTGATTTATAGATAAAATATTATTCTGCCCTTAAAATTCTAAATTTCTTTTAGAAAAATTCTTATTTTTGCCTTGTTATTCTGTAGATTGGATTTTAATGACTGTTTTTTTTTTCTGTAATATAGGTTTGCTGTGAGATGACATTCTTGGTTTAGATGGGGAAACTTACAGATGCAATGTTTATGGCAGTCAGACTTATTTTTATTTCCAAAAATGCTTCTAATGAGCTGGCCAAAAATTCATATGGTGGTAACAATAGTAATTATCATTAATAATAAAATAACAAAGCCTGATGAACATATAATTAATATTAAGTTGTTTCAACAGATTAATTTCCATTAAAACATAATAAGTGAACATGAAAAGGGTAAATTAAAAGGAGCCGAAANTTGTTATTTGAAATACTTATCTGTTGATGTTCATACGTTGTGTTTATTATAAATGCTCTTAATTTGCAACAATAAATGTATTCTTAAACAAACCTTATTTTATTTAATCACAATATATAATAAAATTGCTAAATAAACCTCGTTTTGATGTAAACAGTGTTTTACTTATTAAAAACAACACTAAGACGTCTATTGAGAAATTTAATTTATAGTTATAATACTGGAAATGAACATAAATTTGGATAGTAATAGTTCAATTAAACGTTTCAAAGCCAAAGGATGTAGAAAAACGAAAAACAAAACTGCTATATAGTTGATCTCGCTCTAAAAATTGGTACTTTGTAAAAGATCTTTTGCGATTTATGATCTCCTAATACAAATGTTGAAATTTATGAAAACTTTCAGTTTCGAGCCAAATACGAGGGTTAGTCGAAAAGTAATTGAATAATCTGTTTTTTGAAATTTGTTCAGTAACTTTTTTACCAGCCCTCGTATACGACGCAAAACTGAAAATTTTGTTAAATCTGAAAATTTGTATTAGGAGAGCATAAGTTGCAAAAGATCTTTTTCAAGTACCAATTTTTAGCGCGGAAAACGAAAAACAAAACTGCTATATAGTTGATCCCGCTCTAAAAATTGGAACTTCGAAAAAGATCTTTTGCGACTTATGCTCTCGTAATACAATTTTTCAAATTTAACAAAATTTTCAGTTTTTCGTCATATACGAGGGCTGGTTAAAAAGTTATGGAACAACCAAATTTCAAAAAACAATTTTTGATTTTCCATTACTTTCTGACTAACCCTCGTAATTGGTTCAAAACTGAAAATTTTCATAAATTTCGACATTTGTATTAGGAGAGCATAAGTTGCATTGGATCTTTTTCCAAGTTCAGAATTAAAGCGCGGGACTGACTTCAGCTTTTTTTCAAATTGTTCAGCTCCTAAGCATATGATGGCTTTGGTAATTTTCAAAAATTGACACAATTTCCTTTTTTTTTTATAGTATTTATGCTATTTTATTCCTGATGTGTTTAAGGTTACAGATGTGATGTGTCTGTCTTCTGTTATATGACATTTCATCATCGTCGATGGTATTATTTGCTCTCTATGGTATCTATAGTTTTCTTCTCTAACAATTATCTATTGTTTACAGTAATAAATTGACATTGTACGTCTATGATTATTTCTGTTATCTATGTCTTGAATAAAATTGACAATCCATCGCGATTGCATAATGCTGTTGTTTTTCATATTTTTATCTAATTTAATCTCTTTAATTATTGTTTTCTATGTGTTTCTACAGATCGTCCAAACATACGAGAGGAAAAATTGCAAGTTCAGGTTGATCATAGTGAAACAACCAATATCTGCAATGATTTCGTCTTTCCTGAGTTATATCCTTGATTTTGCTGTTTTCGTCTTCAACTTGCAACCTTATGGAGTTAATTTTCAGCAGATGAGTGAGAGCAAGAGGACATTATTGGAATTCCACTGNAAGAGGTAAGCACGGTTAGACTATACTACAACTACTAAACGTGTTAGTAAATACTACTACTACATTACTACTATTACAAAAAAATAATAAAAACATCTACAATCAACAATTACTTGAGATAAAATCAACAAAAATAAGCATGCAAATAAAAAACTAATTCAAATTAACTACAAAAAAAACACGCAAAATAAAAAATTAATCTGAATTTGGACTAAAAGAATTATTTAGAATTAATTATAATTCTACTAGATAGAGCATGCAAGATAAACAACTATTTCAACTACGGGGTCATCTTTGTCTTCTCCAGCGTCGATCTGAAACAGATAGGGTGGTAACAGATTAATAAAGAGCAATTAAAATTAATTATATCAACTATTCTCACCTTAATTAACTGTAGACTGTAATGTTCGAAAGTTTGTAGGTGTGAAAAGCACACCGAATCCAGGAGGAATATCAGCAGAAAATTTGTTGTTTCAGTGGAATTCTCTTGCTCACTCATCTGCTGAAAATTAAGTCCATAATGTTGCAAGTTGAAGATGAAAACAGCAAATCAAGGATATAATTCAGGAAAGATACCACTGTAGAGATTGGTTGTTTCAGTATGATCAACTTGAACTTGTAATTCTCTCTCATTTCTTTGGACAGTCTGCAGAAATAGACAAAAAATATTAATTAAACAGATTAAATTAGGTAAAATGTGATAAACAATCACCAAAAAAGCAAGTAAAATAGCTACATTTATACAATGGCGACGAGTTGTCAATTTTATTCATGACAGATAAATATTAAAAGTAATAGAAACAATCACAGACGTACGATGTCAATTTATTATTGTAGACAATAGATAATTGTTAGAGCAGAAAACCATAGTTACCATAGAGGGCAAATAATCCCACTGATGATGAAATGTCATACAGCAGAAGACAGACACATCACATGTGTAACCTTAAATACATCAGTGTCAATTGGAATGCATGTATTTTCTAAAAACTGCACCTTTCAAGTCCAAGAGGAAGGAGCTTTAACGGGGTTCCACTTCTCCATGTTTCGAATCTTTCTTATTGTTGTCTCCTTGTTCATTTAATGTATTTAAATGATAACCTGCTGAAACAATTTAATATTAGTTTCATATCAAATCATATTAAATTATTAAGAATCATAATTTCCATCAATCAAATAATAGACTATCAAACTGAATAATCAACAATTACAATTCAAGAGTAAAAAATTATAATAGTAATTATGGTTAAACAAATGGAATACAAGATTTGGAAAATCACACACCATTTTATAAGCACATCATAAAATAGTTAAAAGATTTCTTACCCTTTCTGAGTCCAAGAGAAAGAAATGTGAGTTTCTCCCTCTCCACGTTTCGGCTCCTTTTAATTTACCCTTTTCATGTTCACTTATTATGTTTTAATGGAAATTAATCTGTTGAAACAACTTAATATTAATTATATGTTCATCAGGCTTTGTTATTTTATTATTAATGATAATTACTATTGTTACCACCATATGAATTTTTGGCCAGCTCATTAGAAGCATTTTTGGAAATAAAAATAAGTCTGACTGCCATAAACATTGCATCTGTAAGTTTCCCCATCTAAACCAAGAATGTCATCTCACAGCAAACCTATATTACAGAAAAAAAAAACAGTCATTAAAATCCAATCTACAGAATAACAAGGCAAAAATAAGAATTTTTCTAAAAGAAATTTAGAATTTTAAGGGCAGAATAATATTTTATCTATAAATCAAAAACAATTCTTCACAACGTGGCCCGGTCAGTATGAAAAATCTACAATCATCGCCTAAAACAATTCTCAAAATTCAAAAATTCTAACAAAATCCTAATTGTTCATCTTTAAATGAACTAAGAATCTAAAAATTCAGTGATAAGTGGACAGGCAATATATCTCGATTGACCACCATATTGGAACACGAAACCACTACGCCACCGAGTCGTTTACGCAAAAAAAAATCCAAACGGTAATCGAAACCCATCAATTACTAAATAGAAACACATTCCACACAATCAAATGAAAATCGAATAAGATTAAGGCTAAATACCTTCAGGTGTTGTCTCCGTTAATGGACACCAAAAACGACAACTTATCCATCTACGTGAAGACCGAAAACAAAATTACAAATGAGAAAATGAGTAATGAGATCGCCGGAAGATCCACAGATAAAAATTCCTTTTATACTTACACTACATAGATAATAGGTTTTGTAGGTGCGTTCAATTATACTAACTCAGGTTAATTCGTAAATAGGAACTGACCCTCCTGCAAAAAAAAACCGCAATTAAAGTATGATACTTATAGCATATTTTAATTACTTATATCAGTTTCTAAGAATTAATGCAATATTTTCATGTATTCTAAATTCTATCAGAAATGGCATAAAAACCGTAATGTACAGTACATAACGTAGAAATACCCGGATTAAACAAATATCCAAAACAAAATGAAAAACATTGATTTACATCGCCAGTGTTTAGTGTTATATAATCATAATTATTTTCTTGGACTGCTTATGTACTAAATAAAGGTAGATCATATTATTAATATCGAAAAGTTTAGTTGTTGACAAATTTTGATTCACACTGTAACATTTCTACCTTTATGTTGACTCCAGCCAGAGAAGATTTAATTTTGTCTGATTTTAAATAACATTGCTCCTGATTGCTCGTTGTTTGCGTAGGCAACTTTCTATACAGCGCAGTATTTTTATTGTCAGTGGAGCAGTAGCACTTCTAATTTTGTTTTAAAAAAGACGGTTTAAAATATTCACTGAAGTTTTTGCCACATAATTCTAGTTTTTTACAACTCCTCTACTACAGTTTACAACTTTCAAATCGTTTAGTGCGGTATAAATTAATTTATCAAGAAATACAAACTGTTTTTAATTCGGGGTTTAGAAGTGCACCTTGGTAGTTTCCACATATAAAATTTTGTTAACCAATGCCTCACACTAACGTTAACACATTCTGCTTTAGCGCATTTAATAATGGAGATATTAACTTAGACCTTTTCAAATGGGGATTAAAACTTTACCTCGGTGATTTCTAACTACAGACTGCTTTGTAGTGAGGTTTCACAATAAATTTAATACATTTTAGTACTTTCAGCGCATTTATAAGGGACAAATTAAATTATTAGGAAATAAAAACGACTTTTATAAAATGGGGGTTTAACGTGCTCCGTCCTAATTTCCAACCATAAAATTACTTTTGCTGGGGCCCCATAATATTTTTAATGCATTTCAGTACTTTTAACGTTTAATATGGGGAAAATGAACTTATCTTTTAAATTAGGAGTTGAAAGTGCAGTATTTCCAACAATAATTCTTTTCACTGCTGCCCCACTACAACTTTAATACAATTTGGCACTTTCTGACTAAAAATCCGTAATAGAATAGTTCAAAGTATTAAAACAATGACTATTTTATAAAAACTATGAAGAAATTGTAATGTTAAATACCTTTCTTTACAAGTCTAAAGTGCAGTCCAATATGTTCTTATGACAATGGGTTGTAAGGAATTCCCTATCACAAGCAAGTTGTTCGGAAAGCTGAAACAAAAAGAATATTGTATTAAAAATTAACCAAAAATCGTGAATCATTTCTTTTGATTTCGCAAAAACACATTTTCGTCAAAGAAAATGCCACCTATCGACACTGCTGCGTTTATATCATATAAATTTAAATTTGCTTAAATCACGGTAAAAAGAGAAATTTCACAACTGGTTAACAAACTGAAATTATGATTTCGCAAAAACTCATTTTTACCTTACAACCAGCTGGGCATATATCATTGAAATTTAAAAGTTTGCGCAACTGTTGTGAGTAAAATTTTACGCGCCCAAATTTCAAAATTGGTCAAAAAAATACCGAGAATTATAAATAATTTCCTTTGATTTTGCAAAAAACTATTTCGTTAAAACACGTGTCACATTATATCAGTGTGGAAAATGCCGCTTTTTATTAAATTTGTGAAAAAAACATCTCAAAACATTTTAAACATGTGTTCATATGTTCTAAACATTTTTAAGTTTATTTTGAACACATATTTTAAGTGCTTTAAATTTTAAACATGTTTTTTGGCGTGGTGCCTTGATGTCTTTGACTAGTTGTATTTTTAATAGTGTTTAAAATACGTGTTTTAAACATGTCAATCCTGTAACATGTTTTCTTTATTTCATATTTATAACCAATATGTAGTTTAAAACATTTTAATTTAGAGTGTGTTTTAAAACAGTTTGTTTTAAACATGTTAATCCTGTCCCCCGCTTACCTTTCATGATATTTTATGTAAAATTTCATAATAAACTCAGGAAACTCATGGTATTCATCATATAAAAAACAACACAACAGCAACTTTTATTATACTGTGAGTCTAATTAAGTTGGCACCGTATAGGAGACTTTCTTATTATTGGTTTTATGAAAAAAGTTATTCTTGATAAAAAGTTTTGCTTAGCCTAAAACCCAAAATTAAATAGTCAAATATCAATTTTTTGCAATCATGCCTATACGAAATGAAAAGTTGACACTAATTAATATAAAGTAATAAAAGTTCCCCATATGGTGCCGGGTTAATTGCACACTGTACATTTAACATGTTCCCAGTGGTTGCCAACTTCGACATTAAAATGTACTTCACCATTACAATAAATACAATAAAGTAGTTGTAATATTCGACATAACACTATTTATGGGCATTTTTAATCTAAATGTATATATAATCTACTTATAAGTATAAGTAAAAACTAAAAGAATAGATTCTGCTATTTTCTGTATAGATAAGATTAAACCTTGCACGACCAAACCCATAGATAAGACGGACCTATTGTTTAGAATTGTCTTTCGTCAGCTTTCGTGTAGATTCGATTAGTTGGCATGTAGAAGAAAATCGATATCTTTGTCCTTTCTACGCATGTGTCACAGTTGTCAAAAATGACATTTGGTGTACGTTCTGAAAGTTATTCTTATTATACTATTTTATTAATCTATTGAATNTATCTATTTTTACTAAGAGGGAAGCTAAGTAATCTGTGTACAAGGAAGTTAAAACTAGCCATTTTATGTTGAACACAATGATTAGAGTCGTTGGGTATATATCTAGAGGTATTAGTGGGTTTTCTGTAGATGTCGAATTCTAAAGAATTCCCATTTCTTATAACCAACGTATCTAAAAATGGTAATTTGCCATCTTTTTCCATTTCTACTGTAAATTTAACCGAAGGGAAACGTGAATTTAAAACATCAAGAAAGTCTTGAAGACTTCTGGAACTTAAATCGAAGATAGCAAAAATGTCGTCCACGTATCTAAGCCATATTCGAGGAAAAAACTCAAGGTGGCTAAGGTCACTTTCAAAACGACTCATAAAAAGGTCGGCTATAAAGGGTGATAAAGAATTCCCCATAGCTGTTCCTTCTTTCTGTTCGTAGAAGCAACCATTTATCTGAAAATAATTTTGCCGCATGCACATTGAAGCCAGAGTTATGTACTCAGCTACAATGTCGGCGGAGAAACCATTTTCTTTAAGTAAATCCTCTAAATACGTCAAAGTAAGCGGAACAGGTACACTTGGAAAAAGGGAGCAAACATCAAATGAAACCATAACCTCACTGTCTTTTAGTTTTACGTCTTTGACTTTGTTTATGAATTCAATAGAATTTTTAACTGAAAAACTAGGTGGTTTAATAGGGAGGTTGTTGAATTCATTTGTCAACCACTTGGCTAATTTATAAGTTGGTGCACCAATTGCAGAGACAATTGGTCGCATCGACTTACCTGGTTTATGTATCTTGGGCAAACAGTACAAACGGGGAACTGTTGGACATGATACAAGTAAATTTCGTTTTAATGTAGGAGTAATAATGTTGTGACATTGTTTTACGGTTTTAGTAAACCCAGCAACCATACTAGGTAAAGGATTTTTATTTAATTTTGAATAAGGTCCGTTGTTAATAAGGTCATCAACCCGATCGTAATAGTCTTTTTTATCCAAAATCACAACTTTATTACCTTTGTCAGCTTTTACGTAAAAACAATCCTTATCTCTCAATTTTTTGATAACTTTCATATTAGCATTTTTAATATGGGAACTCTGAGATTTTAAGCTGGTTTTCAATTTTAGTTTGCAAGCCTCTCTGATATAGCCTTTGGAATTGTCATCAAGATGTTGAATTGAACTTTCAACATGTCCTATAACATTTTCTAAGGCTGTAGCAGGAGAAGGCAAGGCAAACTTTAATCCTTTATTGAGTAAACTAATTTCGGCATTATCAAAAACTTGAGATGACAGATTCTCTACAATGTGTTCGACTTTCTTAGGAAGTGGTTTGGAGAATATACCTAACTTACGTAACTTCTTTTTATGAATGTTCACCTTTTTATGAAATTTACAATCTATAGATAAAAACATCTTCCTTTGAAAATCGCTCCATTTTTTGAATTCTTTTTCACTTAAATTATAAGTTAAAGATTTAAATAAATTATACGCCTCTATTTCAAGTAGACTACGTTTTGAGTACAAGAAATCCAATTCTAAATCTAGCCACTTACGCTTAGCAAAAGTGGTTATTTTTTCAATAACTTTACAGTTCTTTGAAACTTTAATATTCATAAACTCTGGGAAAAGAGAGTTACGTTTACAGGTTTTTAAGAATTGGATATCTGCACCAATTAATCTAATCTTACAACTAAGTTTGTGATACCTGTTTAAATCCGATGACCGGGAAGCCATGACGAAATATGAAGATTGGAAAAACTTTGGCGGTTGTTGTAGAACAAACAGAATAGCTCAAAACCCCAATGCCAAAACACGACACTGTAGTTGTCCGAAGCACTTTTCGGTAACAAAGTTACCTTCTTCAGGGACTGAAGTAAACTTTTACAACAACCGCCAAAGTTTTTCCAATCTTTTCAGCAGGTTTAATATTTAATTAACATATCAGAAATAAAAACTTCCTTTTAAAATTGAGGGTTGAAACTACACCTCGGTGATTTCAAACTATAAAATTTCTTTTACTGATGTCTCACAACAATTGTAATACATTTTAGTACTTCAGGGAGTTTTATAAGGGAGAAATTAAGTCTACTGAACAAATGCAATTTTTTGTAAATTAATATGTACGTAACTGTAAAAATACACAAATAATAAATGATTTTGTCTTTAATCAGTATAATTACCTAAAAACCTAAATAATTATATTTTGCATGCATCCCGGCAAAATGACTACGCCGTGATCGACAAAAATACAATACAATGCTCTGTAAATATTATGAGCTGATTACCAGAAACACTCAAAAAAGTAGTTTGTGTTATTTTGTGACCAGTTCCATATATGTTTACAGAGGGGCGAGAATTGTTATCCACCTTAGCCTAACTTGATTTAGGTTAGTTTGTGTTGGGTTGTTAGATGAAGTTAGGCTAGGGTTGGTAACAGTTTCCTCTTCATCCCACTATATTAAAAAGGTATATATCTCAAAATGAACACTATTTGGTAAAAATTTAAAGCCAAAGTAAGGAATACTCTTTCCAGAAATGTATTTTTAGGCTACTGTCTGAAAAGAAATAGTTTTACATTCTTTTGGTTTGAATCACTAGAAAAGTGGTTTTAGGCATTATCATCTAGTAATAAGAGTATGTGATAAAAGCTTGATGCTAATCGGCGAGTGCTACTTTTCTGAACTTTATCTCATTTCATTTATTTAAATCAAAAATAAACCGTCCTACCTTTCAATCCGATTCATCCCTTGTTGGAACAACAGCAGTATTTTCACCACAGAACCGTTGCCCAGTCTAATAAATTTAACGACACTGGCGTCGAAGCTGATATGATGTAAACATTGAAATACACCATAAGAGATAACACTAAATTATTGCAAATCATAATTCCATTTTTCTGCAAAAAATTTCAAAATGTCTTAAATCGCGTTAAAATATGTAGTCATCTGCATGTGACCATAGATAAAAACATTTAACATTCGGATCTTTATCTTGAGGAACTAACCATAGATTATAGATTTGAAAATAAAAAACGAAATAGCTAAAAAACAATATACACATCGTAATCAGCAACATTTACAGATGATATTTCGATAATTATATAACTTCCAGCAAAATGTTTTAGTCAGTATTTTTTAATTCTTACCTATAAAACTGTAAGCTGCTAGCTCCATCAACGACCATTTTAATTCTTCCCCATAGATATAAATCCATAGTCGATAAATTCTTCTCACTTGTCTCCATAGATCAACTTATTCTATGACTTGTCTCACTGTTTATGCTTCTCGCCATGGATGAGAGGCGCCAACCAACGTTGCTTTAAAGTATCAAGTAGCTGTAATATGACGCAAGCGCACAAATCAAATCATTTCAAAAATTCAGAGGATATTTTTGTTGTATTATTTCTTAGTAATTTTGAGGGCAATTTTAAGTTCTTTTAGACAGAATAAAATTTAATTTAATCGAATAAAAGATCTACTTATACATATAAATAATATCACAATTTTATTTCTCTTGTTAGTTCAAAATAAATTATTTTCTGCAAAAATTACAGATCTTACTGTTCATGAAAATCGTTCGCACTAATCATTATAACACAAAAATTTAGAAATTCCTAAAGAGATATATGCAAATAATACCATTCATAAATGAATGTAAAATTAAAAACACTCGATACAAAAGTTTAAAAAAAAGTTAAACACACTATTTAAGGGAACACTTTATTTAATAACTGAAATAAATGTTTTGAAATAGAATTAGTGACAAGTATGCCAATTAACTTGTGCAAAACTGCTGGGACTTGCTCTCAAGATATTTTCATTTTTTTTGCCTATTGTACAATAATAATGTTTTATGTGAAAACTAATGCTGTTACATTGATTCGTTTGACCTATTGTTAGGCTGATTTACATCAGACAAAGATAACATAGTATTTACTGCAAAAATTACCTTACAGTTAAAAATTAATGGTTTGCAGCACTTTAATCCTGAGCTATATACCTGAGAGAAAACTTTGCGTTTAATATGAATATTCTTAAAGTTCTAGAAGACTTACTAGGCTTGTGGAAGTAAACAAACATAATTAAAACGGTATAAACACAGTCCTACGCAGTGATTCATATTTTTCTTTTTCTATTTTGACCTAGTAAGTCACAAACTTTTGTAGCTGTACTGTTACGGAAATTACAAAATAAAGTACAGGCTCAAAGCAGTTGCACTACATTTACAAAAAGAACAGTCCCCCAAAGAAAACACCACAAGGATTTTACATTTAACTTCAATAAGTATCAAAAACTTTGAAATTGTAAATAAAAGCATAGGCTTTTCTGCAGTCACTATTGTTGAACCGAAACCAAACGTGTATCATTAAATCTAACGTTTATAAATTGACAATCAGTGACATAATTAACAAATATGAGACAAACAAGATTTTGAATTGAAAGTCTTGTGGATATAGTTTACGATGGAGTCCTTATTCTGATAATAGTTTTTAAAATGCAATTGGAGAAAGCACATTTTTATTTAAAATGTGCAAATAAATGTATAGTAATGACCAATTACAAAAAAAGAATGGCACACTGATTAAGAAATCCCTATAACTATTAAAAATATTGAATAGCATGATTTTTTTAGTATATGCATACCACGAACATAAGTCAATTTCTCAACTGTAGCTTTGTAAAACAATTTCAACATGGCAAATATGTTGCATTTAAATCAGCTGTGTTGAAAAACTAACTTGTTAACAAACAATATTGAATTGAAACTTACTGTTACCCAAGAAATATGTATTAAACAACAAATTACCATTATAGAAACATAATAATTACTGAGGTAGTTTGTTCTCGAGTCGGATAACTTACATCATGTGATTGATCTTTAGTCAGCATGGTCATGCAAACGCTTTTTTTAATTGAAAAATTGATGTTGTCATTAAATAAAGTAATGCAAGACTTAAAAGCGAAGCTATCCGACAACAAGTGTCTATATCTATAACGGCTGTTTGCACAGTCAGTCTCTTTCCAGCAATATTGTATAACATGTACTATAAACTATAAGTGACCAAAAAACTAATTCTTACACGTAAAAAGACAAACCATAGTAAACCAGATGAATGAACATGTACTACTAGATTTTTTTTCTTTATGTACACCCATTAACATTACAAGCTATTGTTATGTTTTACGTTTCTGCATCTGTTGTTCATAATGCGGAAAAGATTAATATTATTCTATCATCTTACACGAATTAACCATCAAATGTAATTTAAAACTATAACTATTTATTTCAAGTTCTGTACCAGAACAATTTTGAGGCATATGATTGTGTACTCACATGCTTATGCCGTTTAATTTTTATAAATTAAATGTATCCAATAGATTGTCTTCCCGAAACCACAAAATGTCCTTATCTTTTTTGTATACAAACTATTGGTTTACCAGTGACTCATAATTTTAGTCTATCGATAAGTTAATAGTGATAGATGCCCCGAAATTGTTCGTAATACCAGATGGGTTAGGCACTATTAAAATAATAACAGACATATTATGATTTGCGTGACACAAATTTTCAGAGCTTGAGAGTTAATTAACGATCCACATAAGTACCTACACCATTTCTGTAAAATGACGAATTACTTGTGAAAACCTGCACCCTTTCGTTCTTGGTGGTTATTCTAATATGGACAAATCGAGAGTAACAGCGTTCGCAATCTTAGCATAAACTGGAAAGATGCAAAACAAGCATCGCTTTATCTTTTGATGAAAAATAAACACGAAACTTGTTACATTTAAGCGAATTCACTAAAATTTTGTAGGAATAAAAACAAATACGTAAAATACAACATTGAGAATAAATTGCGGGATGATTTGTTTTGCATCTAAATTGCTTGTAGGCGAAATGAATAAACTGTTACTTGACGACTAAGCGAATTAATTGTGATTCATTACACTTTAGTTGCAATTCGCAATAAGCTGAACGGGCCAGGGTTTGACGTACACATGTATATTTATAATTTGAAGAAAAATTGAAACACTTTACGACTAATCCACGTAAAAATTGATAGATTGGAGGTGAATCATGTTCGAGGGCCAAGAGAACGGAGCATGAAAAGCTGTTCTAAAAATGACTTCATTAAAATTTTCGCTTTGTAGGGGGGCTGATTAAGCGCGAGATGTTAATTTTGATATACCTGAATACGTACTTTAGACATGATTATTATTTAAATGTATGAATGTGTTAGATTTTTGGCAAAACTTCTAAAATGTAGTGTGAAACAAATGGATCGAGAAATTAAATTATTGATCAAACATGTTTTGTACTACGAATGTATTTATTTACTTTTTTGTTCGTTTTACTTTTTGTACTTTGAATCAATACCGTTTTGTACAATAATTTTCGATTGCGTCCAAAAGTGGTTAAAAAAAATAATCAGTGACGTTGTTGGTATGTCTCCGAATGCAATTGGGTGTTTTGTGTGCAATTCTGAATGCTGTGTACCCTTTTAAATATCATTTCTTCTTACATTATAAATGCAGCTCTCTGGTAACATTTTCGCACTTTGGCACACTTAAACTCTGTACAAATAAGTTAAATTTNAAGTTAAATTTCTTTTATAAATAAATATATATTATTATATAATATATCCATTTTTTTCACAGTTTCTCGAACGGATCTTCGCGCCGTTCGAATCATAATTTTTTAAAAATCTAACAAAAAACATCCTCCCCAACAAGTTTATCAAAAATATCTTTTTTACAAAAAGCCGTTAATTCGGCTGGCCCGAGGGCTCTAACTAATACCTCCCGAGTTTGTACTATACGAGGCTGGCCGACCTCGATTCAAGATCGCCTGCCCTTTAAGGGCTTCCATCATATAACGATATAATGAAGCCCCTAATCGTCTTAGTTGGTATTATTATTTTATTATTATTATTATTATTAACAATCTCAGTTCTCGTCAACACTTTGCGATACTCCACCTAGAAAAACAAATAATATTCAATCGAAAACTGTTGACAAGAACCCACGAAACATTTTCAACAATCTCCTAACAATTAATGTAATATTTTAAAAATGTCTCTCGTTCATTCACACCGCGCAGTCAGTCACTTCTCGACGTCACGCTAACACGCACCACACCAACTGCTGTTGTAGTATTAATAGTCTCCCTCTATTGCGCAGGTGCAATGACGTGTTGCTGCGAACGTTCTATCGGTAATGTTATACTACGCATGTACTTTACATATACTTTTCACATCTATTTCATTACATTATCAATTTTATCGACACCACACACGCAGCATACGCCGCTTAAAAGTCTTCCTTCTTTAACATCTTAATTTTCTAGATTGAGTCCATTATCTAACGATGACAACTTAGGTCAACTTCATCCAATAGATTGTTATAAGTATATTATAACTTCGTATTTACTACTGCTCGTATTTCACCATCATCGAATCGATCGATTTTCATTAAATTGATAGATAGTAATAATCGTTGTCGTACGGTATGATTGGGTGGTAGTGGTGATGACGTGTGGGCCTCGTATTTTGATTATCAAGATCAGTTGTGTGAGTGTATGTGCGTTACAGGATGTAATAGTTTATACTATGCAAAAAATACATCAATGCAGTATTAAGACAAAAGAAAAACGTGAAACAAAAATATGATAGCATGTTAACGTTACGCAAAACACTTTCTGTAGTAATGTAGCAGCAACATTATAATATTCTCTTTGGTCAGTGTTTTCCTATATTGGTCTGCAACGATAGCGGTAAAACTGAGGTTTATATGGTCGGTTTCTGCGCAACAACGGAAATTTCCTATGGTTAATAATGTGCCTAATTGATTTTGATTTGATGAGGTAGATTGTAGTAGTGCTGGGGCACATCGTTTACGATACCAAATTTACTCTCTCAACTTTCCACTAATGATAATAAAAAAAAGGATAAAGAAAATCGTCCGATAAATTAGTAGAACGTAAATTACAGCGAAATTGCTAATCTTCATTAACATATTATTTAAATTATAGCAACAAACATTAATAAATAAGATCAGGCAATAAAAATTTTTCGTGATTAACAAAACTACTGGACGTGTAATAATAACATACATTTAAAGCACTGTGAAAATGCACTTAACGAGGTATTTGATTCATCATTATTAGTTAAGTAATATATTATTATTATATTTATNTTTTATTGGAGCCGACTGGATCCTCCACTATCCTCTGCTTTATATCTCTACTACTCCTTCCGTCCTGACTTTTTGACCTCCTAGATACCGAAAATCTTTCGTCTCCTATGTTTATAAAACTTTCTCTAACTCTTCCTTGTTAGATACTAATATTGGTATATCATCTACAAATCTAAGCACACTAATCTTGTAATTGTAATACTGCAACTAATAACTTCCCGTTGGTGTCCGTATAGTCCTTAATACCAAAGAAAACGTACAGTATGACATAATATACCATAACTATATCAGCTCAACTTATACGTATCTTTCCAATGGCCTTTCCGTTTGCTTTCTACCAGGATATGATGTCACGCTTGAAAAATCTTGTCAGGAAAAGAAAATCACGAAATTCTAATGCCATTTTCCTTCTTATTGTATTGCTCCTTTATTATTTCGAGGGTCCAGTTGGCTCGTTAACGTTAAAACCCTTTTGTCTCCACGTTCGACGCATTATTTTCGGGCGTCTCACTGGGGCGGTCGATGCACGAACGCTGTTATAAATCCATTAATAACAGTCCGTTGTTTCGCCCTAATGTCTTTATTATTACATTAATTCCCGAAATTGCTGTCCCAACTCGTGACTGACAACAAACCAAATTTTTATCTATATACCGGAAATAACATCAACGAAAGGATTCTACTAATTATATAATATATTTAATTTAATAAGGATCGCCGACAAATGTCCCCTTCATTCACAAAATGCTTTAGTGTACTCAAATCATATTTGATTTATTGAATATTTGACTACCAATACTTATTTAGTTACAAATATTCAAATATCGGATAATTTGAATATTTAAACCAAATTATAAAGAAATTAATAGTCAAATAGAAAAAATTCTGACCCTATTAAATAGGTAGACGATTCTTATTCCTAAATTTAGAGCTTTAGAATATGTTTCAAAAGGAACATTTACAAAAAATAATTTTCTTTTCAACATCGGAGTGTATGAGAAAAAACTGACAAAGACTGGAGTAATTTTCAAACAGGAATTCCAATATAATTATCCAGATTTAATATTATTTTTTTGTTCTTGCGTATAATTTTGTTTTAAAATTAAATACAAAATGTTCTGTTGTCGCATGTTTCTAAAAAGAATATGTCATGATGGTTACTGAAAGGAGTTGTTTTATTTTTTGGATCTCTAAGTACTCTGCTACTTTCCAAACCGACAATTTTTATTGGCGGGTTCGCCTTCCGAATTTGACCCATACGAAGTTATCTTAATATAGGCGCATCAGTGCAGCGCATCGCATATCTTTTCTATCGGTATAATCTAGATCAGTGTTTCCCAACCTTATTTTCCTCGCGAACCAAAAGAAAGGTCCGAAAAAATTTGACGAACCCCCTATGTAATCGTTAATGACAAGTAAAAAAAAAAGTAATAAATTATATTAATCCTTAAACATTTAAATGAAACATTAATAAAAACAAACAGAATAGCTCAAAACCCCAATGCCAAAACACGACACTGTAGTTGTCCGAGTCACTTTTCGGTAACAAAGTTACCTTCTTCAGGGACTGAAGTTTTTCCAATCTTCATATTTAGTGGTAAAGTGTACATAATTTTGTTTCACACATAGAAATCAAAATAATTCTAATAGGCTTTTATGCTACAAATATTCGAATGTTCCATGTATAAGCAAATAAACACTAATTTAATAACACCAATTTTATTTATTGCCATTAGTGAGATATTACTTACTTTCCATTGTGCTTCGGGTGATCCAACAATGGTGACTTTTCTTTCAGCTTGCGCGTCTTGGGGACGGCTTTCGTCAAGAGGAGCTATCTTAACAGAGGCCCCAGAGAATCGAATAATGTTACGGATATGTGATCCTTTGGTGCCGATTATCGCTCCCACTGCATTGTTCGGTATATACAGATAAGTTGTTTCCGGAGTCTCAACAGCTCCTGTAGGAGCACCTGCAGGATAAATGCCCGGATACGGCGCCTGTCCTGCGTACAGACCCCGTGAACCATATCCGATGCCTGCTGTGGCCATCATGGCCATTGGATGTAAGCCAGGGAACATCATTGTCTGAGGTGCCATGGCCTGTAGGTCATTTTCGTAACTTTGCCGCAGTTTTGCACTAATTTGAGCCTCGGCCTTGCTCATGTTCTCGATCGTGCCTTTCACGGTAATGATGCGTTCTAGATTAAACGAACTTATATCGTTAATACTTGATACAGTTATTTTGGTATCAGTCTCTTGCATGATCCGTTTAATTGTGTTACCACCCTTGCCTATTATCCGACCGATTAAGTTATTATGCGCAAGAATTTTCAAACAGATATCTCTGAAAGAGAGGATAATATTTATATTAATATAACTTCAATTTTATTTATTATTAATGTAGAAAAAAGGGATAAAATGGCACACATTGATGCCATACTCGTACTTTAAGCTAACCTGCACTCAACTTCGCAATACATTCATATTAAATCCACTATTTTTTTTTAACTAATTGTAAGTAAAAAATGAATTATAAATATAAAAGGGTTAAAAGTATTCATTAAAATAGAGAATATTAATTTATTATTTTAATCCTTGTAAGATAATTTTGAAGGAAAACTCAACAAATCGTAAGTTTCTAAAGAACTCAGAACAAGTTCATTAGGTATAGGTAAACACAAATAAGTAAAAAAAATTAAAAATTGTTTGTTATTACAACAATTTCAGAAAGAAGTTAAAGTTAATAAAGGTTGTCTTATATTACTGACAAACAAAAAATTAGCCCTAGGGTATTCTAAATACACAGGGTCTGCCAAAATTCCTCACCCCAATCAAAATAAACTACAACCTCCCTAAGTTATGCAAATTACTTTTTAATTTATCGTCTAAAAACAACATAATTACTATAAAATAGTGAAAAAAAGTAATTAATAATTTTTGTTACAATAACTCTCTTTTGACTAAAAAGCAGTTATACATTATTAAAATATTTTAAATTATGTATCTTGACATATCT